ATATATATATATATATATATATATATATATATGACTCGTCAAAGAAAAAATATATCTTACTCATCATAATCTCGTGGTTCATTATAAAGCCCAACAAGATTCCCTAAGTCATATGTATTTGGGTTTAGTACATAGTTGAGCTCAAAAATATTAAGTATAATAACTCACCAATCTTTTATATGCTTAAGTTTGACATTTGATTAGATACAAAGATACTAAGTTTGACAACTCATCATGCACTTATAATTTATGTTACTTATAATTTATGTTTGGGCTCAAAATTAGGTGGGGACTAAGAATACTGGGCTGATGGCTCGATAGTTATATATATATTTAGGTTTAGCGCTTAGCTAAGTTTAACAATGTTAAATTTGACAACCCATCAAATTTATATATATTTGAGCTTAGTAATTAATTTATCACTCTCCTTTTAGTATAAGATTTAAATAAAAATAAAACATGTAAATCATTTTATACAAGAATTATTTAGTGCTGGAAGTAACAAAATCATAGCTACTATGTTTTAAAACCTCAAACTAGAAAGCTCGTAATCTCTTTTATTATTATGAAGAATACAAATAGACATCTAAAGACACCACACCCACCATCAAGAAAAGCAGAAAATATACTTGATCCATCCATCATCGCCTGAACTCCTGAATTCCAGTCAAAGGAGACCCCATACATCCTGCAAGTTATACCCTTCCATGGAACCAAACCCAAAAGGCAATCCCTCAAAAAACTCATTGTCAACCAAATCATCTCCCTTAACAACCGATTCTTCTTCTTCATCATCCTCCTCCAAAGCCACTGCGCCACCAACTACCAACCCCTTGGCCTTACTCTCCGCCTCTTCGCCAACAACAGCAGGCATATGTCCTTCAAACAAAGCCATGCGACCAAACAACTTATCCTTCCTCGAAAAACTAGTCCCAAAAGAGCACTTCCACCTCGATTCCCCACAATGCTTCAAATGACTCTTCAAGTCCGCAAGAACCGAAAAACTCTTATGACACCGATTACACGAATACATCTTCGGACAATGACTCCTCTTAAAATGATTTCTTACACAAATCACAGACATCAATGGCTTAAACTTACTATGTTTCTTATTCCTGTTACAACCTTCAAAGGGGCAGGAAAAATTTGTCTTCCCCGCCAAGGAAGCTGATATTGTTTTATCACCCTTATCAGGCTTCGCAAGTGCCTCAAGGGTTTTGAACTGATTCCTATGCGCACGCATATGCATACGCAAGTTTGCATCTATTTTGAACCCCTTTCCGCAAATATCACAAAAATGAACATGTTCGGCTAGCAGTTCGACCGCATCAAGCTCTTCCTCGTTTTCTTCTCTATTTTCTACTTTCAAAACCTGGGCCTTTTTTATCGCAGTACTTTCTACCGGCGGCTGAGGCACAAAGGGTTGTGAACTACTACTGCTACTAGAGAGAAGAGCAGCGGCGTTGACGATGATTTGATTTATGGCTGAGGAGATCTCAGAAGACACCATGTCCATTTGATCTTTACTGATTAAAGTGTTGTTGTTGACTGATTCTGATAGGAATTGCTTGAGGGAATCCATTCTCGTACAAACTGTTGAGAGGTTCAGGAGGGGAACTCTAGGGTCTGTGTTCCTGTTTACATGGAAGGAATATCCCGTCGGATTCCGGGTAGATTCGCCGGGATTTGACATGGTTTTTGGGAGAGCGATTGGGTTGTTTTGTTTTGGCTTTTCTGGGATAGTGAGTTTGGATTGGATTTGATAAAACCCTTTTCCTTTCTGGTTTTGCTTTTTTTGGTAGCCTCAATTTGACTCCTACAATTATATCTAATTTATCAACCAACCCGCAATACTATTTTTATTTTCAATCACGCCCTTTATGTTACAACTGGATTTCAATCGCCCGGCGGTTTGCCACATATTTTCCAGAAAAAACTACCTTCTAAATTATAATCCACCTTTATGGATTCAAAATAAGGGCAACATAGTTATTTTTTTCCATAAATCATGTAGTAAACCTAAATATCTAATCCATGGAAAAACTCATCAAATCATGTGAATTTAGTTTTATCCTATTTTTTTTTAGAAAAACAACCATAATAATAATTGTTTTGGTTAATTCCCACAAGAAAGAAAAGCAGAGAGGGGATAATTAAGAAAAGGTTGAAATATAGGGGTGATTGATTAAGAAATTAGTTTAGGGACTAAATTGAAATAATTGGTATCTAAAGTAGACTTAACCTTCTTCTTTCGATCTTCTAGGTTGACCGAGGAACTCATGGAAAGAGCGCAAAGACTGGATCGTGACCGTCGAATATGTTGTCCTATTCACATTCAGCTGCAGCTGTGGACCATTACTACATAAATTGATCTTCGGTCTCCGTGGGCCACGTGCGTGCATAATAGTGTGTTTTGTCGAAATTTTACTTTCTTATTAAATTTTAAAAGATTATAATTTGCATCCTCCATTTTATACATATGTTAATACTTAATATCTTCATCAAGAAAAAATCAGAAAAAATTATTTTATTATTTATAGATTTGTTATTATATTTTATTTAATAATTAAAATGCTCTTATATTAATTATTATAATTTTACCATTAAATAAAAAATATATATATCTTTCCCTTACCACCGAGTTTTGGAATTGACTAGAGACTTTAATATATCTTTCCCTTACCATCGAGTTTTGGAATTGACTAGAGACTTTAAACCTTTATTTTCAAGTCAGTTTAATTTTAAAAGTTTAATTTTTTTTAAATAATTAAAAAAATGAAAGGTTATCAACGTTTAAAAGTTTTGGTAGAATAACATCAGTTAAATTTTTTTAGTAAAATAACATATTTTTACCTTGTCGCACTTCAAAAGCCGATATTTACTAAATATCATTATTTCCAAAAGCGACAAGACAATTATTGTGCTTTAAAAGAACAATATTTACATGTGATTTGTCTAAAGCGTGATATGTCATAAAATTTAAATGTCTTCTCATATTGAATAATACAAAGATGCAACAACCCCCTGTTTTTCCAAAGTGACACCCTCACCTATTATCTCTCTAAAAAACTTATTTATAAAATTTAAACACCTAAAAATCAAATATATAATAGTCTTCAAGCATCCTTAGATTATTTTTCTCTCTAGAATTCATCATTGCCATCGCTACCATTCCCCGCCCTCACCCCCCAAAAAAAAAAAAACTACTTCTAGCCCTATAAGCGAGGTAAATATAATACATTATTATAAATTTGTGTTTGGATTAGTTAAAATTAAATAATTATCTAGGTTGAATTTAGGGTTTATGGTGAATTTAGAGTTTTTTTGAATTAATGATAAGTTAGTTATGAATACCATTAATTAAGATTGATTTTATATAGTAAAACATGAAAATAAATTAAGCTAATTACAAATTAATTATGTGTTGCGTTTGGTTTTGGATGAGTTACTAAATTAAGAATTTTATATGGATTGTTGAAATCAACTAATAATATAATTAACTATGTTTGATGATTTCATGCAATAAAGTATGAATGTGATAAAATTATAACCTTTTATAACACATTGCATTGAATTATTGATAAGTTTCCAAATTTGGTATTTTATTCTAATTATTTTAATTTTCTATGAATTTAAGTTTGATTTAATGAAATGGAGTATGAAAATATTAATTAAATTTGATATCATGAATTATGTTTAATTTTGGTAAAGTATGCTTTGGTGTTAAATTTTGAGAATTTGATTGAATTTGCTATGAATTTTTCCAATTAGGGTTAGGGTAATACAATTATTTAAAATTTCATTCAATTGATCATAATCTAATTTTTTTTAACAAAATATCTTATAATATATTTATGTTTTGTCATTATAGTAGCATTATTATTCTTGGTGTGCATAGTAGTATCATTTATAATTTTGAGAATAATTTATTATTAAATGATAATTTAGGCATATTATATATAGAAATAAGAAATATATTAAATGGCATGAGAAATTCACTATAACTCCCCACACATTTTCCTATTCACCATTACAGTGTGGTGACCATTGTGTCATGCCCATAAAAAAATGAATGTCTGTTTTGGTATTTTCACCGAATTCATAAGGCATTAATGATTTATTTGAGAGTATTTTTCTCTATTTAATTTTTTTATAAGCAATAAAATAACTAAAATACCCCCTAGAGAAAATAAAATTAAAAGAAGTCATATAGGGTATTTATGTATTTTTTTTATACACAATAGAATTACACATGTATCTTTTAATGCAAAACATTTAATTTATTGTTATGAGTGGTATTGTGATCTTTTAACCTCAATTTGTTTTGTTATTTTTTAGTTTGGTTGAGGTTAGTTATGTATTTTATCATTAAAATAATAATTTCTTATTTGAAAATCATTAAGTGCGTGTTGCACGCGCTAACATGTTGGACCCATTGCGTGCTTTAAGTGGTGATTATAATGGTTTTCAATTGTTAAAAAAGGTTGTTCATTGTCTTAAATTATTCCTCGTCGTCTCTTCTTTCATTTTAGACAGCGTCTGTTCTTTAAATTTGGTTGTTGTATTGCCGAAGATCTTTTTTTCTTTCTTTCATTCATTTCTATCTCCTAACTTTTTAATTAAACTTTGTTCCTCATTTTTTTATTTCAAATTTAGAACTTTGAGTTTTGATTTTTTTAATTATTTTTTCTTTTGTTGAAGTTTTATTTGTTTTCAATTTAATTATTGGTTCTTAATTTGTATATATAAGGTATTTCAATTCGATCCTTTTACTTCTTTTTTTTTTCATTTGCTCTTTTATAAAAGTTTTAATAGCTTTTATTTTTTTTTATTTTTTTCCTTTGCTCTTTTATAAAAGTTTTAATAGCTTGCAATTTGATTCTTCAAATCAAGTTTATAGTTTCACTTATATTGAACTTTTTACTTTTGGAGTCCATAAATTTAATTCTTATAAATATAAAATAGAAGATTCAATTTAATAGAAGTTAAAATGCAAAAATTGAATTGATCAAGTGCTAATACATTACAACAAAAATTAAAAGGTATAGATGTTTTCTATAGGGATTCACAATGTTTTATTTATTTATTTTTATTTTGATCATCAATATTTTTTTCTCTTGAATTGATTATTTTATAGCAAAATTGGAAGCAAATTGCTTTTAATTTGTTAAAAAAGAGCCAAACTTGAAGATAAAGAATAAAAGTTGAAAAAAAAAGAAAAGAAAATAGATGACAATTTCAAGGTTGGCATGACATGTTTACTACCCTTGTACTTTTTAAATGATAACTTTTCGACCCTTCAGGTTTTGAAAATTCAATTTTGATTCAAAATTGTATTTTTTTATTTTTGAGTTTCTTGTTAGAGAGAAGACAAAGAGAATTGCTAAATTTCAGTATTAGAGAGAGAAAACATTGGTTGACATTGATTTTGATCACTAAAAAAATTGATTTTGATGTCAAAAAGATTTTATTCAATAAGAAAAGTTTCACTTTGATATTCTTTCACCTTCAAATTTCTTGAGAGAGTAGAACTTACATTAGAAACCTTTTAGTTTTCGAGTTGATTTTTTTGTTTTTAGAACATTTCTTGAGTTATTTAAAGACATAAACAATTTTATTGAGGTCTTTACAGGGTTTGTTTGTGTGTTTTTGAGTTAAAGATGCTTAAAAATAAATTTTTAGGTGTAACACCTCTTCTTAATTTTTCAGTGATCCTTTGGTCATTGAAATTTAGGGATAATAAGTGATGTATCATTTATTATCTGTCTACTCGATTTTATTCAATAAGAATAGGTTTGACCCTTAAAAAAATAAAATAAAAAATTATCAAAACCCAAGCAAATAGGCCTAGGTTGATATACCTAAATATCTAAGCTTTTTTTTTTTAAAGGCATAGGAATGTTGGGTCATAGGCTTGCACATATGAGTTTTTTTTGTTTTTTATTTTTATTTTTTTATTTAATAACTTAATAATTTTATCATTTAATATTTAATTTATATTAAATTAGTTTTTATGAGTTGTTTTGTTTAATTTTATCATTTAATACTTAATTTATGTTAAATTAGTTTTTATGAGTTGTTTTGTTTTGCTTTACATTAATTTATTGAGGTCTTAAATAAATATCATGTTATTTTGTTAATATTTGATTTTACAACACTTTATTTTTATTATTATTAATTTTTTCTAGTCATTCAAATTGTTTTTGAACTCATAAAATAAAATAAAATGTGTTATATTGGATTAACTTTCACATAAACGTTTGCAGTGCCTCCATCTTTTAGGTTCAATATTATAATATTTAAATTATTATGAAATTTAAATGTAAAGAAAGAAACTCCAACTAAGATTAGTTTGATGACTGCATTAAACTTTGAAGAGTGAACAACAATATATAGAAAGAGTGGGAATAGCGGTAATACATTTAATAGTAGTAGAGAATAAGAAATAAAAAAAAGGTAAAGAAAGAAAAGTAATAAAAATATAGATTTCTTAAAAACATAATTAATTATTTCAATATTGGCGAGCAAATATCATGCCACCTATTTTTGGGGGAAAGTTTCCTCCCGTCTTAGCAATAGATCGATATTGCTGCCTCGTTATTATTGATACTCTATAAGAAAATCAACATAAGCAATGACAATGGTGCTTGTGACCCCATAGCTTGCAAACGCCTCCTTTGTGATTAGGGCAATTCTTTATACAATACTTGAAGCATTTTCCAGATGGATTTTTATCGTCGTGACCTGGCAAGCAGGAGCCAAGTTCAAAATGTTCAGTGCAACACTGTTTCTGAGCAACCATCATATCACAGCCTGAAAAATAAAA